TTGGAGGGGTATCGATAACCAGCCGACCAGCACTTCAAATTGATTTGCCAACTATTGAAACGTCAAACATTTGTTTCTTTTTGAAGAAACGAAACAGAAAAAAATTACCACAAAAACACACTTTTGATATTGATTTGAATTAATTTAAATTATGAATGAGTTTTTCCAGTTGCTTTTTGTTCTTTTCATTCGTCTGTTCGTTCTGCGTTTTGTGTGGCTTATTTTGGGCCTATGGGCCTATTTGAATAAGATATGTTTTTTTCATTATTTTGTTATAATCTCTCTCTCCTTTTTGGTCTCTCGGTGTACTCAATTAGAACCAGTTTGTTTTCTCTCACAAATGTTCTCTCTCTCTCTGTCCATGGCTCATGATAACAGCCTCTCTTGTAGTCGTTATTTAAAAATTCTTTACCTTTATTTCTATTTCTTTATTTACTCGCTGAATTTGATGTGTGGTTGGTCCACTCGTTTGTTATGAAATGTCAAATGTGGGAAGTAGACTCAAAGGAATGAATGAACTTGTACGAAGTGGAAGCAAAGAAAACAATAAAATTAATGATTTTATTGTAGATTTTTTTTATTGAATAATTTATTTCAATACAAATTGTGGATTTTACGATTATTAGTTGTGATATGTCAAACAATAACTTGCTGACATTGAGGCAGGTCGTTATATATATTATTGTTTTCACTAGATTAGTTACTATTGTGAATGGCAGTTAAAGTGTTGGAAAAAATAATATAAAGGGATAAAAATTATATTTTTTCTTAAATTAAACATACTCAAACCATCCTGAATCTTTATGCACATTTTGTCCCAATTTGTATACCCTCAAACCAGGGTGATCCAGGGAGACCAGCTGAATATCAGCTGCCTCTAATGTTTGCTGTCAAAATCCATTATTGTAAATTGACTTCCATTATGAAAACGTAAACAAAAACCAAATTTTTGACATTAGACTTGAGAAAAAAGCCGACTGGGTGGCCTTATAAATAGATCTTGAATCAGCCTTATGGCTAATGAGAATATATACAGTTTGCTACGGAAAAATGTGCCTTATCGAAATATTGTCTTTTTACCCCATGTTTCTTTGGACCAAATTTGTTTCAGACAATTGGGAGTCGATTTAAAAACGTCTTCTGTCTGTTTTGACGACTGGTGCGCGCGATAACTCTCGAAGGGAGTAACCGATTTGATACAAGCTTTGCACTAAGGATACATAGTCGAGTGCAAAATTCGACTTTAAGACTTTTCGATTTTTTACTATGACCAAAAAGTCAATTTTTAGACTTTTCGATTTTTGCCTTTGACTAAAAAGTCGATTTTTTTGTCAAAACTGTTTCGATTTTCGCCTTTCTGAAAATCGAAAAAATTTGATTTTGTATGTGAACTTTTTCGGAAGGTCTTTTTGATTTTGTGATAAAAAAACAAAATGAAGAAAATCTTGTTAAAAATCGATTTTTCGACTTATAGGCTTTTCAATACAAAAAGTCGATTACTACATTGCACATCGTAATATTTCGTTCACCATCTCGAAATAATGTTATTAATATACATAAATGATTATCTAAATAGAATTCCAAAATTTTACAGCAGTTGACCTGAGATATGACAGCATTGTTTAAAGTAAAACACAAGGAAGAATTTAGCGTTAATTAGATTTGGAAGTGTTAATAAAAAAATTGTCATGGTACGAGGCATTAATTTTACCTAAATTTTTGCATCCTGGAACGATAGCAAACAATTATCTGACTCACGAGCGACTAACTGAAGGATATGGGAATCATACTAGTATGTCTGCATATAAATATCCTTCTATTAATTGCAATTGTTGCAATATGTAGTTTATGTAAATAGAAAACAATTGTGGTCCCAAAATTGACCCGTGTGGAACTCCTCTTACGATTGTAGACAACGAAGACCTTCCGCATCTAGTTTCAACATATTTTGTTATTTAATTAATTGGCATTCTGACTCCGGAAAGCCATAAGACGAGATCAGTTTATTAAGTAGCACTTCATAATCAAATGTTCGACTAAAGTCAATTAGTTTACCTTTATCCATATCGTTTCTTATGTCATCAACATGGCATAACTATACAAGGTAGTCGCATGCAGTTATATGTTTCCAATTTTTTCATAAATTTGTTTTTGACAACATTTAGCTTTCAAAATTTAAACGAAAATATCTTCCTTCGTAATGTACGCAAGTCTTGTGTCCAGTGGCAACAAATTTTGAATTATATATATTTTTTAATATTTTCAAGTTCCCTGCCTATAAAACCTATAAATATAAATTGCATCATTCTCATTTAAATCTTGAGAACAATGTGGAGATTTATAAATTATTTTTTTTTTAATTTGTTCCATTGTTGTTATAGCAGTTTATATGAATATATTTTTCCTGTTTAAATTCAATCTGATTCTGTCTTCATATTGAGAAATGCAGCTACTTCCACTGGCTCCAACCACATATGAGTAGATTTGACTGGGCAATTGAATAAGTGCAGTGTGTTATGAGGGCCCGTATCCCTTTTGTAACATTGAACCTCTCTCTCTAGATCATGCAGATCCTTCCTGACACGCCTGGGTGAGGGAGTCTTATCTACCATATGATAGTGGGGATGATTGTTCCCGAAGCACCCGAGCAGGTACTGCAACAAAATCATATTGCTATGCTGACGTTAGGGAAGGATTTAAGTCTCCTCATGAAGATGGTCCACTGGTGTCATGAGGAGGGCGCGGTTCAGACTTGTCTGAATATTTCTCAATTGCGTATAACTAGAGTTCGCAGAGCACTCTGGAACCGCATAGCTTGCCACAGACCGACATATCGCTTTGTAAGAGGCTAACAAGGTTTTCTTATCTGCGCCCCAAGTGCTACCGGCAAGCGACTTGAGGACCTTGTTCCTACTTTTCAACTTATCGCAGATAGCTGCTGTTTGCGCGGACGGAATTGTATGCACATTCAACGGCATCGGAATTGTATGCACATTCAAAGGCATTTTCAGTGGAGTGGAGTGAAATCGGCCTGTACGATTCACCTTTGCTGGCATCCTTACCCGGCTTCAGTAGCGGGACCACCCTGTCCATTGTCCAGGCTTCGGGGACGACGTAGGTGGCTATCGACAAGTTGAGGACGTTGGTCAAGTATTCGACTCCTGGCTCGTCCATCTGCCTCAGCGTTACGGATGACACATGCAACATCACCCATCGTAAACTGTTGTGGTACCTCCTCGGTGGAAGGTACCACCACACTGATCTTCGGATCAGTCACAGTTTCTTCGTTAAATGTGACAGAGGTCCTATAATCCTTCTTCCCAGGGTTCGAGAACGACTTAACCGTTGCTTACAGTTTACTTACTCCGGTACCAATGTTGCAACTCTTCAGGTGCCCCAACCATTTATTCCTCTTGTGCTCGCCACTAATCTGCTGACCTCCAACGTAAGTTCCCTGAACCTGAGATCTGCTGCATTTGATCGACGGAGCTCATCACGCAGAACGTGGAGCTATCAGTTTGCTCTGCCAGCACTGTTCTCCTCTGGTCATTACCTAGGATGGAATACCGCAACTCATGGTGGACAATGGAATCCCCTAGCACCAGACGGTTATAGCCATCCAATAGAAAACTAATGTTGGGCAAATAACGCGGTTCACAGCTATTAATCGGCGGTATGTACACGTTAAGCACCTCTATCTCGGCAGTACAACATTTAGTTTTTTTCTTATTATAATTCATCATTTAATAGCCTTTTAATTTGTCATTTCCTATGTATGTATGAACGCGTTTAGACTATTAAATCCACTCGATTACAAACGTCAATTATATAGCGTATACGTCACGTTAATCCTGTTCACAAATCCGCTGGATTATAATTGACGTATATTGACATTTAAGATCATGTGGATTTCGTAAATCTAAACACATATACAAAACGAATCACATACGTTTTGAAAGTCGGAGAAGGATAGTGATGGCCAACCGATGCTACTATGGTCTGAGCAAACAACTCAAAAGCAAGGCCACCTCGCGACTACGTTGGCTAGGGCATATAAAAGTGAACCAGCTGATGGTTCGCGCAGAAGGGGAAGGCCAAGAATACGATGGAAAGATCAAATTGCAAAAACTGCGCAAAAGACCGACGCGCCTGGAAATCTTTTCTAAGGTCGGCTTATGGAACGTAAGTTCTGTCACAAGCCAGCTAAGTAGGAAAGGTCGCAAAAAGTATAATTTTATAAATTATTTAATAGTTTGTTTACATTTAACCGGATTTCGTTAACCCAGTGGGTTTCAATTGTCAATTCCTTTCCATATATGTCAAATAAATCCTCATGAAGTAGGTTAACCCGGTAAAAAGTTCTAATGTATATGCCGTTTAATATTCCTTGGTGTACGTATGGTAGATTTGACAGAACCTGTCACCTGGAGTTTTTTAAACAAAATATGTCTCATTTAATTATATTCAAAATTGTATGACATTCCCCATATAATTTGTTATTGTATAAATCAACAACGCCCCATACTGCTGTCGAAAAAAACACAACCACCAACTATTTAATTATTTCGCTGACACAAATGACAAACAACAAAATGACATTTTACATGACTAATTGTCATGTACTGTCAAATGTGTGAACATATTTTGTGTGGAATAAAAATAAAATTTCAAATATTTAATTCTGAATTAAATTTGTAGATATAGAACAAATACTGGGATATTTTTTTAAACAAACTTCTTAGAGATGTTAATAATATGTCAGTTTTCTCTATATTCCAGCCATGTAGAAGAAGAAGCAAATGTAACAATTGAAATAAGCGAATAAATGATGAGTTAAACGAGCGAATTTGCCATTTAGAAGGAAAGGCGGAAATATGGCCAAAAAAAGTGTGTGTGTGTTTATGTGTAGTAGAATAAATCGAATTATAAGCCTTTTTTGCGATTTTGGTTTTGTTAAAAAGAAAATGCCATATAATAAGGATGTATTGTATAAAACTTACATTTACAATAGTTTCTCCACTTGACTGTCGGTCGGACTGGCTGGTTCTCAGCTGCTCAGCTTTATGTTATAACCTTTGCTTGGAGATGATAAAGTAGACAACTGCATGAATATGAAGAAGTAGGAAGAAGCAGATAGAACAACGAACAATAACAACAAAAATGTGTGGTAGTAGGTCGTGGCGAAGTTTCTTTTTTTTTGTTTTTTGGTTTAACTGTGATATATATTTTTTAAAGATATATGATGATATATAATTTCAGATTTATGATATATATTTTTTTATTTGTTTGTTTTTGTTTTTATTTGAATTTCACATATTTTTTATCATGGATTTTTATTATGAATTATGCACTTTGATTTGGTTTTTTTTTTCTTCGAGGACTTGTTTCTTTTTTTTTTGTTTCTTCTATTTCTTGCTTATTCAGGGAATGATGAATGGAATTCTTGGATTTTTTGTATCGTTGTTGTTGTTGGTTTTTTCTTACTTTTTAGCTTTGCTTTTCTTTAAACAATCTGCTTGTGATTCTTTTCCTTCACTCTCATAATACAATTGCTTCTCTTTTTAGGTAAATATTTTTAGATATTATATTTCTTTTCTTCCTCTCGTTTCTATTTTTCTTTTATTTTTTACACTCTGGGTCACTTTATTTTCTGCTGGGGATTATGAACAAAAATACAAACAACAAATATTAAAATTTATTTATATTTTTTAATTATATGGTTTTCGTTGTTGTTGTTTTCTTTTTTAACGGTAACACTGGTTAATTGGCCGTTTTGTTATCCTTTTTTTTGGTTTAGTTTTTATTTTCATGTGTGTTGGGTAAGACGTCGCAGAGGAAGCAGCAGTGTGCATGTGTGTAATTATTGCTGGCCCGTTGTCGTCGTATTTGCTTCGATGATGATAGCATGCCTGAAAGTATGCTACACTATACGATGTTAATTGTTTTTGACACACTCATTCACAAAAATCGTTTTTCCACAAACAAACGCACACACAACAAACACACACATTCACACGCGTACACTATTACTCTTGTTGTTGTTTTTTTATTTCACCTTTTCCTGAACTCTCTTGCACGCCACAATTGGTCTCATTGACTTGTGCATGCTCGCTCGTTTGCTTACTCTCTCTCTCTCTCTTTCTCACTGGTTTGCCGTTACTCTTGTTGTTGTTGTTTTCTTATTTCACCTTTTCCTGAACGCTCTTGCACGCCACAATTGGTCTCATTGACTTGTGCATGCTCGCTCGTGTGCTTGCTCTCTCTCTCTTTCTCGCTAATGTTATGGGGTTATTTGGTGCTGTTACACTATTGTGAATGACTACGCCGTGCTCTTTTATTTAATGCAAATAAAATCAAGATTTCTTTTGAATTTATTAAGCAACAATTTACACAATTAAGCGGGGAATATTATAAATGAAAATATTTTATATGATTTAAACAATATGAATATCTTTTTTATTAAATAATAAATTCGTTTTAATATTTTTAATTGGAATTTCTCATTGCAATGCAATATGGGGGTCACATAGTTTTGTGTAATGAAATTTACTGCTCTGTCATCATCATCACTGGAGCACCTGGTACTCTTTGCCATTTCACCTCATCCTCTACACATTTGTGTTTGTGTCGCACATACACTCTCTCTCTCTGCCTTTTTGGCATATATATGTCACACTCCCTTTACTCAGTAGGACACAAAATATTTTCTTTTTTTTGGTTTTACTTCACTATAAGAGCCATCCAACAAGCCTATGGAACACATACACACACGCTCACTTACTCACAACGTAGCCCACCAACACTTCCTCAAAAAATACCAATAAGCAGCAAAAAAGGATTTTCTTGTTAGAAGAAGAAAAAAATATTTAGTTTGGCCTTTAAAATATGCAATTTTACACAGTAGTTTTCACTTTTAGTTGGTATTTAAATACAACAAATCCACTCAAAATATTTATTTCTTGAACAAGTATAACAACACCCGATTTAAAAATGAAAAATATTTTTTTTTCATCATCACCTATGGAATTTCTTTCTTTTTTTCTCAGGCTCGTATTCCTTTTCTACACGAGAAAAATTTTTACTTCCGTTTTTTTTTTCTTTCTTCTTGCCAATTAGAAATTCATATGGCTTTTACAAAATGCCATTAATGCCACTTTATTTCGTTTTCGACCGAGACATTAAAATACTATTCAAACGTTATGCTGCTTTCTTCAACGATTTCAATTTATTTATTACAAATTTTAATTTTTCTTCTATTTTATTATATTTTTTTCTTTTCTCAACTAAACTTTCTACAATTACAATAAAAAACGCAAACTCTTTTTCTTCAATCGCAAACGACGACGACAACGACGTGTTTCCACCTCTCTGTTCTGTGGTGGAGTAATAATGCTGCCGATTTTGCCAAAGCAACGAGTGCAGTTATTCTTTCTGTCTTCACGACGGACAACACGGGCATTAACGATTTGTTGAGAATGTTGAGAACAGGAAAAAAGGATTTTGAGATTTCAACACTGTGTATAGTATGTTGTGTTGCAAAACTAAACAGGGATAATAATTACAAAAGAAACGATATGAAGATGTCAAAACGCCAAATTGTTAAAAAAAATATGTTTTAAGTAGTTTTTTACTATTTTTAATTATTTTTTTAAAAATAAATTAAATTCAAACGCGAATATTTCTAATAGTCCATTTGTTATTGTGAATAACAGCTGGTTTCTTGTGTCTACGCTAAGTACTAAAATTGGAATGTTCATTCACAATAATGATGCTATAATTCACATGTGACAATAATATTAAACAAGCATATCAAAAGAGGGCACAGCTGCATTAAAGTCTAAAGAATAATTTAACATTAAAAAAAACTGTGCTAAAATAATAACAGAAAAAATAAAAAATATGATTAAAAATATTTTAATAAAACTCCGTTATAAATTAATTTTAGAAATAATATTTAAAATAAAAAAATATTTTTTTAGGGACCAATAGAAGCGTGGATTTTTAAAAGAATATTTTTTAAGGACCAAAAAGGCGTGGATTTTTAAAATAATATTTTTTTAAGGACCAAAAAAGCGTGGATTTTTAAAAGAATACTTTTTTAAGGACCAAAAAGCGTGGATTTTTAAAAGAATATTTTTTTAAGGACCAAAAAAGCGTGGATTTTTAAAAGAATACTTTTTTAAGGACCAAAAAGGCGTGGATTTTTCCAGCCGCGTCGGTCTTTTGTGCAGTTTTTCCAGTTTAAAAGATCATATTCGGCAATGTTGTCTTCCACTTGGTCTTTCCATATTATTTGAGGCCTTCCCCTTCTGCGCGAACCATCAGCTGGTTCGCTTATATATGCCTTTTGGGCTAGGGCATCTTCATCCATTCTCACAACATGACCGAGATATTCACCGTCAACGCAGATCGGCTCATAGATCTTTCGGAGCATTTTTCTCTAAACACTCTCCAAGAGCTGCCTCATCAGCTCGAAGCTGTAGTTCTCAAGTTCCACAGTTGGTCCGATTCTACTGGGTGCCTTGTGCGTTGATACCATCAGCTTGGTCTTCTCGCCGTTTACTGCTTGTTCAAAGGTGGATGTTACCGCACGCAATGTTCGAATCATCATATCGATGTCATCGGCGTAGGCGAGTAACATGTGTTGCTTGGTTCACCTTTGCCTCTCGTATGACCTCTGTTCACCTTTGCCTCCCGTATGACCTTTTCCAGCAGGATGTTAAATAGGTCACACGACAAAAGGTCTCCGAGATGTCCTTTCCGACTTTAACTGCTGGATGGCACTTTATATGCGATGGGAAGGAGACGTATTCCTCTATAGTTGGCACATATCGTCTTGTATCCTTTTTTGTGCACGGGACACAGGATGCTGAGGTTCCAATCATTGGTTTGGTGTTTTACCCGATGGTAGAATAATCGGACTTCATTCTGACTGCTGCAGTTTGTAGGAGTGGGCAATTATCTGCCACTGTGCTTTTATATTATTATCGGGACAAGGGGTGCTTTCGTCAAGCTGTTGGGTAAGTTGAGTGGAGTAGGCTTCTGCTTGCAGCTTTTCGACATAATTTCCGTGTTACATTCCGACATGGGGCCAAAAATATTTTCCTTTACGATTTTTACATTAAAATCTCCTAGCAGAATTTTAATGCCATGGCCAGGGCAACGATCATATGCTGTTTCTAGGCGCTCGTAAAATATGTCTTTGGTATGTTAATCTTTATCTTCGGTCCGAGCATACGGATCGGATTTTAACAATTCGCTCATCTACTGGAGTGAATCTGGAGACGAGGTCTTTTATTCTCTTATTAACCATAAATGCAGCTATAATACAGGGCATAATCATCTGATTTACTTACGCCAGTCCCTTTCCATCGCATTTCCTGTAAGGCAATAATATCGGATTTGTACTTCTTGAATACATCAGGCAAAGCGAACACAGCGCCTGTTCTGTACAACGTGCGCACATTCCAAGTGCAGATTCGCAGATCATGGTCCTTTATGCGTTTGAGGGGGTCATCAACTTTGGGGGGTTTGGTTTTCTTTTTCGTTGCTTTTTCATAGTAGGTTCGGTTTTCCGAGTGTTTGCAACTAACCCGACGACTAAACCCATTTTTTATAGTTCTTATGGGTGAACTCGCGGCACATATTAGCTCACTATTTCATCGGGTGATGAAAATAGCTACCCCAGGCGGCACCACGGGGAGGTCATTGTCCACAATTGAGAGGAAAGAGGGACCAAGATAAGCCTGGACTTCGCCATGTTAAAGCCAATCAGAGCCGTTGCTTGGTATCTGTCATCCTCTACCCCACCCTTAAACACCAATATAAGGCGTGGATTTTTAAAATAATATTTTTTAAAGACCACTATAAGCGTGGATTTTTAAAATAATATTTTTTAAAGACCACTATAAGCGTGGATTTTTAAAATATTTATTCAAGGTCTATCTAAGGCGTATATTTTAAAAGAATATTTGTTTATAAACCATTAGATTTGGATTTTTAAAATAATATTTTTTAGGGACCAATAGAAGCGTGAATTTTTA